GGCTAACGGGGGCGGGGGCAACTGGGGCCGAGGTCAGGGGCAAGTGGAACGGGGTCAGGTCGTACTGGGGAGAAAGACCTTTGAAACAGCAGCCGGGTCAGGGGCCAAGGGGCTGTTGTGGGACGAGGGCGTCGTCGGGCATGTGGGGTTGGGCCAACGCGTGGGGACGACAGGGACGGGAGGTTTGTTGGGGTGGGTGGCCCGGTGACGCAATACTGTACTGGTGGCGCCGTTGTGCGTCGCAGGCGGATAGACGGCGGCTCCAGCGTGGCTCCTGTGGAGCAGCAGGCTCGATTTGGCGCCGACTGAATGGCAGGGCAACCGCCAGCACCTTGCCGGACCCCTCTCATTGCAAACCCCCTTATCCCGTTTTCCCTTCCACCTGCCTGTGGACCCAGAAAGCCCGTGGCTATCGTGCGGCCCGAGTGGGTGGTCGCCTCCCTTCGCGCTGGGCAGCTGCTGCCGGTGAGTTGCCCGGCAGCTTCCCACCTCCTCCCACATCTCCTGGCACCACACCGCCCAAGCTCCCACCACGAAACCCGTATCAGGGTTTCCTTTGGAGCCCTGCTCTCCAATTTTGGCCTGTGTTTGCCCTTTTGGCGTGGTACCCCTGGCCTGCCCCACTGGCGCCTCGCCAGCGCTCCGCCCGGCGCACCGCCGGCTTCTTGCATGTGCGACGCAAGCCACCAGCCGTCCGTTCCATCCATGGTCCTCCTGCCCCCGCCCCCGCCGCCACCGCCACCCCGCTGCCACCCCGCTCCCCCTCCCCCTGCCGCGGCCAGGTCAAGGACTTTGCGCTCGAAACCATCAGGGACGCCCCCCACCAGCGGCGGCTGACCGACTTTGCGCGCCACCAGGCCGCGGGCGTCGTGGCTACAGAGCTGTACCCGCGGCTGCAGCGGGAGCAGGAGGGGGAGGCGCGGCAGCAGGGGCAGCGGGACGAGCAGGGGGGAGAGCAGCAAGGGCAGGAGGGGGAGCAGGGAGAGCCGCAGCAGCAGCAGCAGCAGCAGCAGCAGCACGAGCAGCAGCAGATGTTTGACGAAGGACGACTGCAGCAGGATGATGGTGGGGCTCATGGCAGGGAAGCTAGCCAGCAGGAGTGGCTGGCGGGCGACGGCGCAGATGGGAGACATCGGGCTGCGCCTGATGGTGCAGACGGGAGCCAGCAGCAGCAGCAGGAGCAGCACCATCAGCAGCAACAGCAACAGCAACAGCAGCAGCAGCAGCAGCGGCAGTCGCCGGACCGGGCGCTGTCGAGGCCGCGGCAGCTCGCGGCCGCGCAGGCGCTTGCGGCGCGGCTGCGTGCTGACTGTGATGTCTTGAAGATGGCGCCGCGCACCACGGCGGACGACCCGGATTTCATGGCGACATACTTCAGGTCGTCGCGGCTGCACTGGATAGGTGGGTTGCCGCGCGCCTGCGCACGTGCGTGCGCAAACTTTCACGTGTGTGTATGGATGTGTGTGTGTGCAGGCGCGTGCGCATGCGTGTGTGTGTGTGTGTGTGTGTGTGTGTGTGTGTGTATGTGTGCATGTGTGCATGTGCGTGCTGAATGCAGGCACGCAAATGCGAGTGTTTTTGCGCATGCAGTGGGGCCTTCTTGGTGGCATGCAGGGGATCTCGGCTCACACGCGTGTGGTTTGAGAAGCGCAGATCGGATGCAATCATGCACAGACCATGATAAACCCCGTGCGACACAGGCCCTCAGGCTTCGCTCATCCTCTTTCTGCACCTGACCCACCAGCTGCCACCAACGACCGCTTGCACCCGACAACCACGCCGCCCATCCCGAAGGCTGCTGGAAGGCACGACTGGAGTCTGCCATGTCAGCCCCGACCCTTGACGCCGGCCCGAGCCCCATCCTGGTCGGCCCCCGCGCCGCCGCCCCCGTCCCCGCCGCCTTCGCCGCCGCCGGCCGCCCGCACGGCGCGGCGTCGCGATCGCCATCCACGGCCGCGGCGCCGAGGGAGCGCGCCATACTGCACCTCGATATGGACTGTTTCTTCGCCGCCGCAGCCGCCGTGGGCCGCCCCGAGTTCGTCGGCCTCCCCCTCGCCGTCTGCCACAGCGCCAGCGAGCGCGGGAGCGGGGAGGTGTCGAGCGCGAACTACGAGGCGCGCGCGGCAGGCGTGGGGGCGGGGATGTTCATATCCGAGGCGAAGCGGCGGTGCCCGGAGCTGGTGGTGGTGCCCTACGAGTTTGACCGATACGAGGATATCTCGATGGAGGTCTGCAGATCACACGTCATCATCTCACGGGACGCCTGCAGACCTTAACGCGCTCAATTGTGTGGGGGTTTGTGTGCTAGTGTGGTAGTGCCAGCAGGGCGAGGGGCTTCTGGGGCTGTTGTTTTTGGTGCTGCCGCCTGGCTGGCAGCAGCTCATGCCCCGTGGGCAGTGGGGCAACAGGCACGCGTTTGTTGCACATCTGGCCCCCCTCATGTCCGCATCCTTCGTGGCCCCTACACTAACCCCCCTCTGCAGGTGTACCGCATCCTCATGCGCACGACATCGGCGGTGCAGCCCCTCTCCTGCGACGAGGCGTACCTCGACGTCACCGGCCTGGGTGACCCGGAGGAGATCGCGGGGCGCGTCAGATCTCAGATCAAGGCGGCGACCGGCTGCCCGGCCAGCGTCGGCATCGGGCCCAACCCCCTGGTCGCCCGCCTGGTGAGGGGCGACGTCTCAGCCCTCACACACTTCCCCTGTGTGTGCCTCTTCACCGCTCCTGGCTTGTCACCATTACAACCCTGCCCTGTGGCTGGCAGCCCGCTTGCGTGCTTGCTGCCTGAGCCGGGCTGTTCCCTTGGCTGCTTGCAACCCCATCCTGCACACAGCGCCGGGAGCGTCACCAGCTTGCACGCTCCGTGTCACCCGGCAGGCCACCAAGCGCGCCAAGCCCGATGGGCAGTACCGGGTGACGGGTGACAGGGTGCTTGACTTCACGGCGGAGCTGCGGGTCGACCAGCTGCACGGTGGGCTGTCGGGGGGTTACCCGCCGCGACTATGGGTGTTCAAGCGTGCTCTGTTGCAACGCTCTTCTGAAAAGTTTCCGTGCACAGGGGCACAAGTGGCTCAAGCGAGCGGCCGAGGAAACCAGCGCCTGCCTGCCAGGCTGCCAGAGGCAGCTGGGCCTGCGTGGGTGTGCGGACAGCCGCGGCACCGTTGGCCCACGGCCGCATTTCACCTGGCAACACCCTTAACCGCCTTGCTCCACCTTCGTGCCCCCGTCTCCCTCCCCCCCACGACCCTGCCCCAGGTGTGGGGTGGTCCATGGCGGGCAAGCTGGCCAAGGAGCTGGGCATCACAACGGTGCAGCAGGTGGGGCGGGGCGGCGCTGAGCTGCCAAACATACGCACACATTATTACATACACAGACGATCACAAGCGCACGGTTTCAAAGGCACACTTCACCATCACGTGCACACAAACGCACAAACACACACACACTCTCTCTCTCTCTCTTTCTGCCTTGCATAAACGAGTACATGCACGCGCGCGCAGACTCACACACACGCACACAAGCACGCACACGCTCGCGCATGCACGCGCGTGCACGCACGCACTCGCACGCACCCATGCACGCACGCACGCACGCACTCGCGCGCGCATGCACACACACACACACATGCGCACGCACAAACACACGCACACACACACACACACACCAACGCACATCCCATCCCACCGCCCCCAGGTCCGCGCCTGCAGCAAGGAGGTCCTCTGCCGCCGCCTCGGCCAGAAGGCCGGCTCAGAGCTCTGGGCCCACGCTCACGGCCGCGACGACAGGCCTGTGGAGCGCCCCGGGCCGCGCAAGAGCGTGGGGGCCGAGGTCAACTGGGGGGTGCGGTTCAGCGCCCTGGAGGACGCAAAGACGTTCTTGAGGGTGAGACAAACGGCTGATTGGATTCGTCCTGCCTTGGCGGGTCAGTATATTACGTTGCTCTGGTTGCGAGGGGTCGGCTGTCGCTTTTTGGGGCCGCCTCAAGACAAGCGGGTCGCGGCGAGACGCCCGGGACAGCGCGCCGGCCGTTGTGCGTACCCCGTGGCGCGCGGCGCGCCTGCGGCCCGGCCACGACATCTGACGCTTGATATTGTTTTCCAACCTTTTGATATGATGTTGTGACCTGAACACCGCCCTCAGGGCATTGCCGGCGAGGTCGCCGCCCGCCTCGCGGCCGCGGGCGTGCGCGGGCGCGCGCTCACGCTCAAGGTGAAGCGCCGCCAGGCGGGCGCCCCCGAGCCGGCCAAGTTCATGGGCCACGGCATCTGCGACAACGCGAGCCGCTCGGTGACGCTGGGGCGCTGCTTCTCTGGGGCGGACGAGATGGCGGAGCAGGCGGCGGCGCTGCTGGCGGCGATGCAGATACCGCCGGAGGAGCTGCGGGGTCTCGGCATCACGGTGGGCGGTTTGGGTGGAGATGTGAAGGG